AGAATATGGCTGCAATTCAAAGATTATTATTATTATTATTATTATTATTATTATTATTATTATCTTTTGTGGTGTAGCATCTTATGAATGATGTCAAATTATCAAAAATATTATTATTAATAATAATTAATATTATTACTATTATTATTATTTGTAATAATTATAATTATCATTATCAATTTTATTTAATCAGAACAGAAGTTATCGGCAATAATGGATATAATAATAAAAGAACATGACTGACAAAATTTGCACTAGTATCTTTATTGGATATTGTCAAGTTATATTATTAATAATAATAATAATAGTAGTAGTAGTAGTAGTAGTAATAACAATATCACTATTATTATTATTATTATTATTAAAACATTTTACAACATTGCCTACAAAGTGCTTTTCAGAAATGAATAGTCAGATCCAGAAATATGATAAGAGATGTTTAAATAATAAGATTATTTAAATGTTATGTTATTATAATAGTTACATTATTAACTGTCTGTTATAGTGAATTATTTAATGATTATAATATAAATTATTATTATATGAAGCAGACCATTAATATTAATTTTGTTGTTATTAGTGTTGTTTCAAGTTTTTACAAAGTGCTTTCCAGAAACAACAAAGAAAGATTGAAAGACCCAACTGCAAAAGTCTGTTCTGAGCTCAGAGTGCTCTGATGGAAAGGAGTCACATTGATCCGTCTGAAATGATGCTCAGCCTTGCCAGATTACAGTGGGGATATTCACACTGAAGTCTTTCTTCTCTTGTTCCCATCACAAGAGGTTCATCACATCTTATCTTTAACCCCCAAATGCCCCCCGTCCACTCCCATTTGAGCTGTCAGTCAGAGGCTGTATCCGAGTCCCGATCAGCAGGATAAGGACTGAGCTGCGTTGTGACTGATTGGTGCAGTGATACAGGGGCAGAGAGCTCGCAGGTCAAAAAGTCATCAGTCTTAGTAGTAGTAATAATAATAACAATATCACTATTATTATTATTATTATTAAAACATTAACAACATTGCCTACAAAGTGCTTTTCAGAAATGAATAGTCAGATCCAGAAATATGATTAGAGATGTTTAAATAATAAGATTATTTAAATGTTATGTTATTATAATAGTTACATTATTAACTGTCTGTTATAGTGAATTATTTAATGATTATAATATAAATTATTATTATATGAAGCAGACCATTAATATTAATTTTGTTGTTATTAGTGTTGTTGCAAGTGTTTACAAAGTGCTTTCCAGAAACAACAGAGAAAGATTGAAAGACCCAACTGCAAAAGTCTGTTCTGAGCTCAGAGTGCTCTGATGGAAAGGAGTCACATTGATCCGTCTGAAATGATGCTCAGCCTTGCCAGATTACAGTGGGGATATTCACACTGAAGTCTTTCTTCTCTTGTTCCCATCACAAGAGGTTCATCACATCTTATCTTTAACCCCCAAATGCCCCCCGTCCACTCCCATTTGAGCTGTCAGTCAGAGGCTGTATCCGAGTCCCGATCAGCAGGATAAGGACTGAGCTGCGTTGTGACTGATTGGTGCAGTGATACAGGGGCAGAGAGCTCGCAGGTCAAAAAGTCATCAGTCTCTGAAGGGATTATGGGAGATGGTTATCTGGGCCGATGACCAGCAGGGTGTGTGTTTGTGATTGTGTTTGAGGAATGTGTTGGTTGTATTTAAAGGTTCGCTGACCCTTAACATCTACATCCAGATTTCGAGCACAACTCTAGTCAAGAGGATTTTAGCATGACATTTTAAATCTAGTCGACCTCTTAATGCCGTTTGATTGCTCACTTTTGTTGGATGGCCAAAGATGCAAGCTTTTAGTCTTTGCAGCTTCCTCCAAAGCCCAGAAGACAATTTTCTAGCAGGCTGCTAACAGAACTTTATTTTTCCCCGAATCAAACTGGGGGTGGAATGGAAAGAGAAACCCATGGCTAATTGTTTTTTCCAGAGCTTCTCAGATGGAAGTTAGCTAATGAGGTTAGGCAGCTTGACCCTGTTGAGATCGCAATGTGGGTCTAATTGTGATCTCAAATCTGCTCATAATCTCTTAATATGACAGAATGAAGGTAGCACGTTGCTGGAGTATAAACTGAGGGAGAGGACGACAGAATAAAGTTTTAAAGAAACAGTAGCAATGCTATCGACTTGTGACAGTGGTTCATCTGTTTTCAAAACAGAGTCGCTTTTTGAGTAACAAGCAGATTTTTATTTTAAGCGAGTTGTGGTATATCACAACAAAACTCTACATTGCTATGTTTGTCAAATTGTATGGTATTGTATTGTATGACATTGTATTCCAACTGAGCAAATAAAGGTAATGGTCAAACTCCCCACTCTAAAATACCTGTCTTTCTAAAATATGTATTGTTGTTGTTATATTATTTACAGTAATGCATTTGAGATACTGTATGCATTTGTAGCAACGCATGAGTTTCTTTGCATCCAACCCATGATCTAATTATATGATATGTGATATATTATACATGTATATATTAATATTATGTATATTAAATATTGAATAATTGATATTAAATATTTATGAAATGTTTAATAAATAATAATACATACTGTACATAATAAATATGTTTAAATATTAAATGTATTATATATATTATTTATAAATAATATTTAGTTTATTTAGTTGTTGTGACTGAAAGAGGAAAATCAACATTGCTTCCACAACACTGTTTTTATGTATTCAAACCTGGGAAAAAATTACATTTATAGCATGCTTTATTCCAGGATTCTGATGGCTGGCTTAGGTTGTCTGCTTTTTTATTTTTTTTTTTAATTCTTTAGAATGCATTTGCATAATTTGACTTTAAAAATGAAGTGTCAAAGCACACTGGGAAAAAAAAGATGGTTTAGAAACATTTTTTCACTCAGAAATAGCTAGTAAATTTCACAAACAATTACAATGAAGTCGAAAAACCGAAATGTATTTTCTTGTAAAATGTACTTCAACATCTTTATTTTCAACTTCGAAAAATATTTTTACAGTGCACTTAACTCAAATTTGACTTGTCAAATATATAAAAACAATCTTGAATTTTATAGATTCATAAGCATGTTGCCATCAGTAGTTGATGTCAGACTTCACTTACGCTTGTGGCTCTTGTATCCTGTACCTCAGCGGATTACATGCTTTATATAGTTGATACTGATGTTTGCTCTGTGTCCATCCCTTGTGGGCCTGGAGAAGCCCCCATTGCATGTTGTCTATTATGCAAACAATAGTGTTGTCATTATCAGCAGGGCCTTGTCACTGGTTGTCACCATCTGATGAGTGTAAATTGCCCTGTTTTGTAACCAAAGTGAAAATGCAACACATTTACAGTAGAGAGAGAATTGATAGGGTCCTGGTGTTATAAAGTCATTTGTTTATTTTTTTGAGCTCTTATATGCACTGAGCTGAAGCAGAAGGTCTTCATTATAGATAAGTCCTACCCTTTATATTGGCAGTGTCTGTTGTCCTCAGCTGGCTCCTCTCAGTGTTAATGTCAGATTGCGCTCAGGTTGCAGATGGTGGCTCTGGTTTCTCCATGGAAGCTGAGGCCAAGTTCACTGTCACTCATGTCCTCTCACACCTGTCTGCCTCGGCTTTCCTTGTAGCGTATCAATATTTCAGAAGGCCAGGGGAAGGGCAGAAGGTGACTAAATGAACTGGCAATAAGAATAAGCAAAGATTGTAATGGGTAAGATGAGACAGACAGAGTCATGTTAAAGCACACCTCATACCATTTTGTTTAATTCGAATTAATGCGACAGAGTTAGACTTGTCTAAGTAACAAATGGACTATAATGTTTAAAAGTTTAGGGTTGGAAAGATGTTGTAATCTTTTTGAATTGTATGCTGACTAAGGCTGCATTAATTTGATTTTATTTTTTTTAATACAATAAAAACAGTAATATTGTGATATACTTTTACAATTTAAAATAACTGTTTTCTGTTTTAATATATTTTAAAATGTAATTTATTCATGTGATGCAAAGCTGTATTTTCAGCAGGCATTACTTCAGTCTTCAGTGTCACATGATCCTTTAGAAATCATTCTAATATGCTGATTTGCTGCTCAAGAAACATTTCTTATCACATAAAACATAAAAAAAAAAACATTAGAAAACGTTATCATCACAGTTGTCAAAGTTTAAAGGAACAGCATTTATTAAAAATCTTTTTTAAACATTCTAAATGTTTTAATGTCAGTTTTGATCAATTTAATGTGTCCTAACTGAATAATTAATAATTTCTTAAACATCAAAATCTTACTGACCCCAAACTTTTGAGTGGTATAGTGTAAATTGATGGTAGATTTACCATCATAACGTTCTGTATGCTTTCCTTGGCTAATTAACTTGTAAATTTGATGCCGTAAATCATGATTCAGCTACTAAACTAAACAAAAACACAATTTTTGTAAATCCATGTTATGTGTTGTTGCAAATGAGGTACTTTTGGAAGTTTATGTTTAAAGTTAGATCTGAGAGCAGTTATCTGTTTAATCCGTTGACAGCCAGGCTCTGTTCATCCCATAATATTTATTTTCACGCCAGCATTAACATTGGGGTGTGTAAACGCAAACTTGTTTGTTGTTCCAATGATAGAGCAGCTGCACACTGAGTCATCATTTTTTTCTCATTATGACTGAGCTTGAGATGTGGCATTTTAAATCCTGTTGAACATTACTTTTCATTTGTCAGTTACTCCTCTGAGTTCATCTTAAAACATTTAGTCGCCTATGTATCATTTACGACAGGATCCTCACCACTTTTTTTTGCCATGTTAGCATTTCAGGTTTGTAATAAGTAAATACATTACAGCTGGTTTTTAGATTACTGATTGATCAGAACCACAAAAGATCAAGTATTTATGCATAACCTAATTTTTTTTTCATGAGCTTTCTTCATAACATCACAACCAAAAAAAGAACATTTAAATAAATGTATTAGTTTAACTTCTAATTATTTCTGTTCTCTCTCCTCAGGATGAAAAACAAGTTGTGGTACTTTGAATTTGGCACCACAGAGACCATCTCAGCCACTTGTAAAAAGCTGAACGAATCCATTGAGGTGGAGGTGAGTTCAGGACATTTATCCTCAACAGTGCCCTGTTTTACTTGACAGCAAATGTTGTAATTATAAACAGCCACATTCACAGTCTTTTGACTGTGTATATGGTCAGTATGTCCACTGAATACTTCCTTCAACAAACTGTGATTCATTAATGCAGCTGGCTACAGTATCTACAGTAAACCTCAGGCTGCTCTTACGCAGTCAGCGTTGAAGGAACATGTCAGAACGTCTATCTGAAAGCAAACAGTGGCAGACGACCTCTGTTGACAGCGTTCCCAGCATGTCAAAGTTTCACACTGGCCAGTTTGTGCTTGTGGTTTGACGTACATAATGAATGCAATGAGTTTCAATGACAATGAAGATTTATTCTTTACTAAAGTGCTTGATATTTAATCCAGACAGAGACATTACAAGGTGGCAAAGACAAACCACTTGTGAAAAAGGATTCGTTGAAATTGTAAAATGCCTTTCAGTTAAAAGAAGCAATCATCTTTTTCAAAGAATGTATGAGTGTTTATTTTTATTAGTACTGACTTGATAGTTATTATTAAAGCATAAGCATGATGTCATTTTTCTGCACTCAAGTAGATAAAAGCTGTACTTGAATGCCTATTACTTACAAAAAAAAAAGTTTTAAAAATTACAATTGGTCGCATTACCAACATGGCTGCTTAGTAAACTAACTTTGATCCAGACCGAAGAGGGTTATGTTTCACAACGGTTATGAAATTAGAAGAGCTATGAAAACATCAGCAGCTGAGGAATTTGCTTTAGGAAAAAGAAAGCTTCTTTCTCCCACTCTTGTGTGGGATCTCACACGGATCGAGGTGTCTCATTATGTCGTAAACATGTCAGCATTTGTCTTTTGAAGTTTGTGTACTTTTCCACTGTACTGACGCCCTTGGTTTGATTCAGGGTGGTCTGTGACATCATACATTACTGTACAGCATTTCTATTTTTGGATCGCCCGCAGGCATTTTTAGACTAGTTTCACTTCTCTCGTGTCTGGAATGCGATTGCTATTGATGCGCCACTCCTAATAGTTAAGTACATGAATGCAGTTTATAATGCTTCAAGTGCTTTGTCACTCTTTTTTATACAGTTTGCATTACCATTCAATATTTTGCGGCCATTTACATTTTTTGTATAGATATTGATACATTTATTCAGCAAGGATGCATTAAATTGATCAAAAGTGACAGCAAAGACATTTATGATGTTAGAAGAAAATAAAATATGGTGAACATAAAAGGCTCTTTTCCAAAGAAATGTGTGTATAAGTGTATTTTACAAAATTTTTTTGTTTTTCTCTATGTGTCCTAGTGTGATGGCATCATTTTGGATCTCAGCAGCACGTCTCTGGAGGGTATCGCTGTGCTCAATATTCCCAGCATGCACGGGGGCTCCAACCTGTGGGGCGAGACCAAGAAAAGACGGAATTACAATCGCATGAGTAAGAAAGTGCCAGAGAGAATGACTGGCAGCACTGTCACCGATGCCAAGGAGCTCAAGTTTTGTGTGCAAGGTGAGTCAGACTTTAGGACATAAATGACTGAATTAGATCTGGGTTGCTCCTGAAATGTTCTTACAACCTACAAGTTTCCAAATATAGCAGAGACGAAACCAAAGCACGCACATCGACGGCAAATAAAAGGCAGAGAAATTATCCTTTTGTATTCAGTTGTTGCTTCTGGCTGTTTCATTGTAGTACATTTAAGTGCTGATGACGAAATTGACTGAAACCTCTGATTTCCTGCCACTTCTGATAAATTTCAAATTACTGGCCATCTTCGGTAGATCAGCACACCATGTGGAGCCGTTTCATATGCAGCTCTGACTCACAGCTGCTGTGGAGGAGCCGAAAGCTTTTAACCATCGCTAATGAGCAGGAGTCTCTCCGGCTGCTCGTTACACTGATGTTCAGTCTCACTGTGTTTTGGGATTTCCTGCGTTTGTTTCCCAGAGTGTGAAGCGCTATTAGCAGTGCTAATCGTCATTTAGGGATAGCGCTATCTGTGTCAGCACCTCACTGAGAGTAGAGTACCAGCGTTTCCAGATCCCACACAAGAGGCTGGTGTCACCACCCCACTAAATGTCCTTCAGGGAGAGTAAGTCAGCACAAACACCCTTGTGACGCCAGCCTCCGGGGCCCCGGCGTCACCATCAGCTGTCTCGGTCAGTGATCAGAGCTTGGATGTGACTGTGCCTCCCAAGGTCAGAGCAACAGCAGCTGTTTCAGGTGGCGGTGAATCAGCCTCCAGCTCCAAGCCTGGGTTTTGTCCAAAGGAAATGAAAATTCTGTCATCATTTTCTCATAAATTATAATCATATATATTTCTTAATCATCCCAGGTGAAGGTAGTTGGTTATATACAAGACTGGCTGTATGTCACTGGCTGTAAACTGCGCTCCAGTTTTTATTCAAAGGGGTCATATGATGCGATTTCAATTTTTCCCTTCTCTTTGGAGTGTTACAAGCTCTTGGTGCATAAAGAAGATGTGTAAAGTTGCAAAGACTAAAGTCTCAAATCCAAAGAGATATTCTTTATGAAAGTTAAGAGTCAGCCACGCCTACCTAAAACGGCTCGTTCTAACACACCCCCACATATCTACATCACTATAAATCGACGCGTTTCAGAAAGGCGGGGCATAGAGGAGAAACAATAATGTACAGTATGTGGAAAATAATGTGTTTTTTGAACCTTAAACCACATAAACACATTTCATTACACCAAATACACAAAATAATGTTTTTTTTAGCAGCATCATATGACCCCTTTAACATGCAAAAAAGTTTTGGTTTTTTGTTTTTTAATTAAAATGTTTTACTAAGAAAATATTCCTTTTTTTATTGTGTATGTCTTTGAATTGAGCTGTATTGTGGACACTGGTTCTGCAAAGGCTGAACACCTCTTAGCTAAAATGCAGTGTCATAGTGTAGTGAGATTTAAAAAATGAAAAACATACACTACCATTTAAATGTTTGGAGTCTGTAATCATTTTTTTATTTTATTTTTTTAAAGAAGTCTTATGCTCACCAAGACTCACTAAGACCAAGCATTTATTTGATCAAAAATAAAGTAAAAACAGTAATATTGTGGAATATTATTACAATTTAAAAACTGTTCAAATGTAATTTATTGCTGTGATGGCAAAGCTGAATTTTCAGCATCATTACTCCAGTCTTCAGTGTCACATGATCCTTCAGAAATTATTCTAATATGCTGATTTGGTGCTCAAGAAACATTTCTTATTATTATCAATGTTGAAAACAGTTGTGTTGCCTAATATTTTTGTAGATACATTTTTTCAGGACTTTTTGATGAACAGAAAGTTAAAAACAACAGCATTTATTTGAAATAGAAATCTTTTGTAATATTATAAATCTCTTTACTGTCATTTTTTATCAAGGTTTCCTTGATAAGTAAAAGTATTAATTTCTTTAAAAATATATATAATACTGACCCCAAACTTTTCAATGGTAGGACAAAAATATCTCTTTTTTTTATCACAATTGCCTTTTTATTTGTACTACGAGGCAGAAGCCTTCTTATGTAGATGAAAACAGTGCTTTTGACATTATTTGCAGTAGTTCTTCTCTGCCTCATAAAAATACTTTGATCAGCGTCATTCAGTGGGACTGGAGTGTGTGTGTGCAAAAGTATGCATGCTTAGAAAAACTGATATTTTCAAAATGGGGCCTCGCATTGCTTTCATAAATGGCCTCTTCTTTTAAGTCAACATGACCATTGTGTGGGCAGCAAGACCCTTGAGATGTTTTGGTTTGGTTTTGTTTTAGCTAACGTCAGTAAATGACAGCTGTGACCTATGAGAGCAGCGTCGTGAATTTGAAATACCCTCTGATGTATGTAGGCACCTCTGTCTTGTTTGACGACCTGTGTGTTCATCACCTGTTCCTACTCTCTCTCTCTCTTTGATCCGTTTGAGTTCTCTTCACATTTACAACTCTCCCGTCCCTCTCTCTGTGCTCTTCTGTACTCCACTGACTGAACTCACATGAATCCTGTTACCATGGAGACCCCCAGGCCCTCCTGAACTGAGGAACAGCGTAGGGATGGAAAGAGAACGAGCGTTTGGGAGGGAGGGCGAGAGAGTGGGCTGCTGTGAGCAGTGTGACTCATATCAGTAATCTTTAACTGGCCTTCAGGCACAAATACCAGCACTGCATACAGTAGAGGTCTGTAGCCACATCCCATCTAAAGTAACTGTGATCACTCTGTTAGTTAGTTAGCTTTCAGCCATTTGTCTTTTTCCATTTAACCCTAAGGACTGAGTGCTACAGGGTTTCTGAAAGCTCGCCAGTGATGTAGGTGATGCCAAGTCGCTCCGCATGTTTAGATAGCACAGGTTCCACTCTGTGAAAATGGCCTGCTGTTTACAGCTGTAAGAGCATGACCTCATTTCCACCTCTCTATGGAGTGTATTTTGAGGTTTATATGAATAGAGAATTCCTCTCACTCGCTCCACGCAACAATTTCCACATGACTCAGGTCCTAATGGATGTTTGCGTGTGACTGTTGCATTAGTAGGGGTGTTGTTAGACTTCTAGTGCAGAATCTTTTCTGGACAGTCCTGAAGCTTGTAGAGGTTTAATTTTGGCCATAATAAACAAGCATTTCCCAAATTTGGGTGGGTATTAATAGTAATAGTAGGTAATAGCTTTCCACTACACTAGATTTTTTTTCTGTTTATATATACAGCGGGTAAAATAAATATTGAACACGTCACCATTTTTCTCAGTAAATTTATTTCTAAAGGTGCTGTTGACTTGAAATTTTCACGTAACGTAATTTCTGAACTTATTTGTTTTGTTTTATTTGTATGTATGGATTACTTGGGTTGTTACAGACATCTGGTGAAAATTTCATGTCAACAGCACCTTTAGAAATATATTTACTGGGAAAAATGGTGACGTGTTCAATACTTATTTTACCCGCTGTATATATAATGTTTATTTATAGTTTAGTATCATTGTAAAAAAAAAGAAATTTATTGGGTAGGCAATATTTTACTATCGTTTCTAGCATACCTTGATGGCAGCATTTTTTAGCCAAATTAAAAACCTTATTAAAAGTTGAACTCTGGTTTGAAGTATTCATATTTGTTGGTAGCTTTGCTTTATGAAATGGCACTAATATTTTAGAGTTGATCTGATGTTTAATAGTTATTTTTCTAGATTTTCTCTCACTGTGTTTAGCAGCTTTAACAGTTAAAACAGTTAAAATGTATTATAAAGTAATCAATTGATACTTTTTTTTTCAAATATTTTCTCACTGTTCACATCAGAATAAGAATTTAAAAAATCATGCTAGAGCTCAACATGGCTGCATTTATTCATTTAAAATACAATCAAAATTGTAATATTGTGAAATGGTATTACATTTTAAAACCTCTGCTATGGCAAAGCTACATTTTCAGCAGTCATTACTCCAGTCTTCAGTGTCAAATAATATGCTGATTTGATGCTGAAGAAACATTGCTTATTATCAGTGTTGAAAACAGTTGTGCTGCTTAATATTTCTTTGGAAACCTTGATACATTTTTTTTTTAGGATTCAGGCTGAATAGAAAGTTTAAAAGAACAGCATTTATGTGAAATAGAAATCTTTTCTAACAATGTAAATTTCTTAACTGTCATTTCAATTTTAATTTAATGCATCCACGCTGAATAAATGTCTATAAAAATCATACTGAACCCAGTAGTATAGTGTATTTCGTAGTAGTTACAAAGCACGCCTCAGTGAAGAGTTGTAGTTTTAACATTCTGTGCGTGACGAGATTCATATGATGATAATGAGTTAAATATAACTTGAAATGATTATGTGAAAATATGCAAAAGCTGTCTAATCACAATACATGGCCATTTTGGCAGAAATTATGTCCATTTCTGCCAAAAAAATTAACCATGGATGGAATGTTCTGGATTTTTTTGCTTTCTTTCCATGTTTATGTATTTCAGGAATAGCTGAAATAATGAAGCCGTATTCGTGTGGTAGTCAGCATCTCCACATCTCTGATCTCAAATCGGCTGTTCCCTTTTCCTCTCTTTATTTCAGGGTCACAGAGGGACATTTTGTCCTTTCACCTGCTTCCCACACCCTTGAACTCTCCTCTTTCTTTCTCTTTATGGCTCGTACACAAGTCGCTCCACCCTTCCCACAGTGATCTTGCCACACACTGCCTCGTCCTGATGGCTATTTCAGGGCACTGGAGCCATTCATTGTTACATCCCACAAACAACAACACACACATGCACAAAAAACACACACTTGGATCCTCGTAAACACAGAGCGAATGATTTATGTTGTATTTCCTCACTCCCGTCGCACACGACAGGAATAGAAGTGAAACTCTCCACCCAAAGAGCATTGTGGGAAAACGGTGACTCAGTGGATGAAAGGGACGCTTTCCACTGTGGCTCGATCAGTGGCCAAAAAAGCCAATCGACAGCTTTGCTCTCGCTTTAGCAAGAGTGATGGACATTTGAAGAGTGGCTCTCACCCATC